GAAGCCTTGTATTGTGATACAGAAGCCCCTAGCAAAGCAGGTGATGGGCGGTGGGGGCGGGCACTGGCCGCCAGCCAGCAGACCTGGGTCCGAATCCAGATCCCCAGGGAGGGTGGCCTTAGGTCACTTATAAACAGTCTGAGCCTCGGTTTCCTTGTCTAAAATGGGGACAGTTAGACCCATTTTAGGGCTGTGGAAAGGAAATGTGCATATCCGGTAAAGGGCAATTATTAAACTAACGTGGGAGGTTCGTCACCTTCCTTAAGCCTACAGAAGGCCCCCAACCTTCCGTGTCCCTCCCCATGCAGTTCCCGCCCGGCCACCAGGCCCCCCCGAGCTGTAGAGTGAAGAGCATCGGAGCAGGACTCACACAGGCCCAGGTACTGCGCGGACGAGCTGGAGGACCCCACGGCCAGGACCGCCACCAGCAGCCAGAGCGCCCTGGCCTCCATGGTCACGGCGGGCTCCGGGGACGCGGCCACTCGCTGGAGGGTGGATGAGCCGCGTCTGCCAAGGAGACTCACTTATAGCCCCGTGTTTGCACAGGTGCTCCGCGGCCCACTGTTTGCAGAAGGCCCTTCCCTTGGCTCTGGCCCGGCTGCTTTTCCCTGGAAGAGACTGTGAAGTCCCCAGAGTCGCCTCCCTAAGGGGGGAGGGCGGGGCCGACCCCGCGGGTCATCTGGGCTCCTACTCTTCTCTCGGGGAGCCGGGTGCGGTCAGCCCCGTCCGGCCATTGGCCATGGGCCTGGCCTGGAGGAAAGACTAAAAACTCAGCAACAGTGTCGATGACCCAGCCAGGAGCCGTCCAGAAGCTTCCCTGTGCAGGGGCCAGAGTGCCCAGGCCAGTCGCCCCCAGGTCAGCCCTGGGGACCCGGAAAGGCAGGCGCAGCTGGTGCCCGCGGCTCCGCTTCGCACAGCTCCTGGGGGGGCGACAGCCCCTTCCTCTCTGTTTGGCTTTTTCCCAGCAAAAAACAAAAATTATTATTAACTCAATCTTAATAAATGTATTCAGTAAACTTATTTAATACATTTTCATAAAAATAGAGCACGTGGAATTGCTTTCAAAGCTCAGACGATGCAGAAGGACCCCCCTCCTCCCCGCTGCCCCCAGGTCTGGCCGTGTCCTTGGTTTTTCCAGAGAGTTCTCTCTAGATCGACACGTTTTTAATGCAAACGGGAGCTTACTATACACCTTCGCCCAGCTTGCTTGCGTGCTTGCTCATGAAGGCCGTGTCTAGGAAACGGTTTTCTGGCAGCGCATCTAAATGGGGTGGGAATAATGATACCCACTTTCCAGAGAACCAAGGCTCGGCGGTCAGGGCGGCCGTCAAGGTTACTCTCGTGGCCCCTGCGGGGCTGGGGTCCGGCCCACCTGCCCAGGACCCTGGAGTCAGCTCCCGCTCCCCGCCCCAGCCCCTCCCGTGCAGGCGAGTCCGGGGTCCCGGCTACTGCTGTTCCTCTGTTTCCTTTCTGCCTGGGGACATTCTTACCTGTCCGTTCAGTCCGTCCTGGTTTTTCCAGGAACCTCAGGTTTCACACACCGCCCCAGAAGCGGGTGCACCTGGATGGTTAAACTTAGCCCCGGGGTTGCGGGGGGGGGGGCATTCTGACCGCCCAAGAGTTTGTCCACAGAGTTGTCCTTCGCCCAGTGACCGAGGGGGCCAGACTGTGCACGTGCTGGAGAGGAGGCCCGTGCCCCACCCGGGCCCAGCCTCTGCACTCGGCGAGCACGGAGGGGTCCGTGTGGGCAGTGCCGCCCTGCTCCCCGCCTGACGGCCAGCACAGGTGTGCGGACGGGAGGAGCAGCATCTGCGACGTGGTCGGGCGCTCGCTTTGTCCCCAGAGGGCGCGAGACCATCCAAGCCCACAGACGGCACGATGTTTACGTTATGAAGATCGTCCTGGAAAGTTCCTGGAACCTTTTCCCAGTAGACTCCCTGCTCCTCCCCCCGCCCATCCCACCCAACACCCCGAGGCCGGGCCAGGCTATAACCCTGGGCCAGGGTCCAGAAAGCACAAACGCCCAGGGACAGGCTCAGAACAGACGGTCATTTGTAAGCGGCCCTGACGGAGCATCTCCGAGCGCCCTGGTCCCCAGAGCTGGGACGGCGCGTGTGCCTGAGCCCTGCCCGCGGCCCCCTGACTCAGAGACCGCAGAGTTGCCCTGGGCAGCCAGCTCCCAGGACCAGCACCAGTCACTGTCCACGGAGCCCAGCGCTTGGGGCGGAGGAAGAAGTAACAGAGGTGCCAAGTCCCGGTTCTTGGAAAATTCTCCTCGGGAAGACGGGGTCACGCCACAGGATGGTGGGGGAGCCCAGAAGCCTGGTCCTGGGTCTTGGGCTGCGTGACCTCGGGAGAGTCATCTTGTGCCTCAGCGTCCTCGCCTGTTACACAGTGCCTAGCACACAGGGCCACGTGAGATGGTGACGCGGAGCCGAGCCAGGCGCCAGGACACGTGCTGATCACCCACCCGCCAGGTGCGGGGCAGCAGCCACAGTGGCGGAGGGTCCGGGTCGCGGGCCCCCAGATCTGACAGAGGTGGCCGTGGCGTGAGGTCCGGCTCTGAGTCACGGCTTCACAGCCGGTGGCAGCATACGGAGCAAGCACGGGCTGAGCGCGGCTTGGGGGCCAGGTGCGGGGCCTGAGGGAGCTGGGCCCTCACCTCAGCGCCCGCAGCCCTGCCAGGGAGGACGAGCCTCGAGGTGGGAGGCACAGCGCAGGGCGCTCAGCGCGGGCACCAGGCCATGCGGCAGGCTTGTCGCCAGGTGGAGTCTGAAGCGGGTCGTGGGGGGCGAGTGGGAGCTGACAGGTGGCTGCGGGTCAGAGGTGTCCCAGATGCAGTCCTAAGTCCCCCCGCCCCCCCGCCCGAGATGTGGAGTCACTGCGTCCGACACAGGGCCGTATGTCCCATATCACTTCTCGGCTTCTAATCTTGTCACTCTTGGCTACTGAAGCCATGAGAGCCAGATGGGAAAACAGGGTGCATGTTGTGTTATTGGACACTCCTGGGTGGGCCCTGGCTACACGCCGCCCAGGAGCCTCCTGCCGACCAGCTGGCACGTCATTCTGCAGCTGCCTTGGGTGTAGGCTGGTCCTCCGCGTTCTGCAGCTTCCTCCTGCTGGACCCTTCCTGGGCAGTCACAGTGACCCATCCTGGGAGTCTCCTGTCTACTGGCCTGGTTTCCACCGGGGGGACAAATGGGGGAGGGAGTTAGGCCTTGCAAATGTGTCACCCGCCAACCGTGCAGGGGGAGAGGGAGAGGACGGGGCCCCAGTGAGTCGGGACAGAGGCTGAGGGCCCTAGGATGCCCCTCAAGGGCCCTGCTTCTCTGCCCCCAATACTGGCCAGTGCCCATCCTACTGCACACGGTGGGGACATGTGACGGCCCCTGGGTGGTCAAGGGAAGCTGCTGTCTAACTCGAGATACACGTGGGGTGGTCCCAGAGACTGTGGCCTCTCAGTCCTGAGCTCCGCTGGGTCTGGAACTATGACATCGACCCAGGTGTCACTACAAGGAAACCAGCTGGCTGATGACCAGGACACCGAAGGAAGAGAGATAAGTCAGAAATAAACAGCGCTGCTCTCGGGGAGCAGATGTGCCTGGGGCACCAACCCCTCACTGGCAGCCCCACCCTGTGGGGCCCGAGGGGCCTTCGGAGCAGCTGGGTGCGCCCAGCAGGAAGCCAGCCCCCCAAACCCTGGGCAGCAGCAGGAAACCCGGGGCGGCGCCAAGCTAGATGTGCCCCCAGCTCTCTGGCTTCGGATTTCTTCCCTGTAAATAAAGCCATTGTCACTACGTGACTTCCAGGTGTGCTGGGTAGAGCGTGTCCTCCCCAAATTCACGTCCTTCCTGGAACCTTGGAGTTGGCTGTGCTGGGAACAGGTGGGACTGCTGTGGCTGGGCTGTGTCAGACCGCAGGAGGGCGGGCCCCAAATCCAGCATGGCCGGCGAGAGGGGAAGGGACAGCCGCGCAGAGGGAAGGCGAGGCGGGCGCAGACGTGCAGGGGGAGAGGAGGCTAGGAGCCGAGGACCGAGGACCGAGGACCGCCACGACTGCGCGGCCACCCCCAGCCGAAGAGGCAGGAAGGCCCCTCCCTCGCAGCTGCAGGGGGCGCCGGGCCCGGTGACACCCGGTCCCCCACTCGGCTCCAGAGCTGCAAGAGAACAGACACCCGTGGTCCCCACCACCCAGTCTGTGGTCCTTTGTTAGGGTGGCCCCCGAAAACCGGTACACCAAGGGCACAGCGGCTCTGCTCTGAGCTTCCGTCCAACTTGTCCTTTCCAGTGAGGGGACAGTGAGGGTCGCAGACAGCTTCTCGCACGAGGACCCTCCTCCTTCCCACTCTAACTGGCTCCGTGGTAAGAGGGGCGGGCTCTGCCCAGTGCCCAGGGCTCCTGCACTCAGGACCCTGCCCAAGCTGCCGGCTGCGGGCCTGCGATCCCACGCCTGTCCCCTGCCCGCTCTGTGCCCGTCTGGTGGTCAGTCGCTATGGCTCGCTGGCTGTCGTCGGTGACGAAAGGTCTGTGGAAACCCTTCTCACGTTCCCACGCATCGCCCCAGTAACCCCCACGGGTCTTTGATTCCAAGTTCCTTGTTTCAGGGGAGGCTAAGACAACGCTGCTGGCAGGTAGCACAAAACTGTCACTTCCCGGTCGGGGCCCCGCCGTGCTCCACCCTGGAGGCCTGGGCAGCTGGCAGCCCATGCCGGGGGCGGTCCGACAGGGAGGTGACTGTGTAAGGAGCTGTCCAAACAGGGACACTTTTCAGAGTGTCTGAGGCTCTATTAATGATTATGCCAGGACCACAGGTGTGAAGAGGGGTGGCCCCAGGCCAGCGGGACGAGGCCCACCTGCCGAGAGCATCCCCCACCTGCAAGCCCCAACTATGGCGGACGTGGCCCAGGCTCTCTTGATGGGACCATGGCGGTTTCTTCCACTAGGCTGGAGATTAGGGATAGGTGCCTTCCCCTTGGGGCAACACGGGAGTGGGCGGGGCTCCTGGCACAGACCCAACTCTCTCCAAAAGTTCTCACACGTCATTTTCTCCAAAATTCTCCAAAATTCTCTTCCTTTGAACCTTTCGTAGCTTCCATACAGGTACATTATTTTAAGAATCAGCTAATATCACTTCTCCAAATTATTCTTAAAATGTAGCGGCCTGGCATCTCACTTCGAAACATGACATCTGTTGTTTCTGGGTGACTCATCAATATCTCTAACAC